TATTTTTTGAGATGGGGTCTCACTATGTAGCCCTGGTTGGCCTACAACTTGCTATGTAGACCAGGCTAGCCTTGAATTCAGAGATCCACCTTTCTTCCAAGTGCTAGAATTTAAGGTGTGCAGTACCATACCCAGCCTTTCTTATATTTTAACTGGGTTTGCTGACTACCTCCCCCCGACCCCTCTTTTACCCTCAACATAGACAAACAAACAAACAAAACACATGAGGAAGGTAATATTTTTTTCAGTGCTGAAGATCAAGCCCAAAGCCTTCTGCAGGCCTGACAAGTGCTCTATTACTGAGTTACATGCCCAGCCCTCTGAAAGAGTTAGTTTCTAACAACATCCTTTAATATCAGTCTTAATCTGTTATTTGAAACTGATAAAAAGGATTCCATATGTTCAACACATCCTCTCAGCCCCACAGGGAGAAAACCTGACACATATATATAGATATTTCATTTCCTGAACTTCTCATTTTCCCTAAACAAATCTTTATCATAAGTTACTAAGCTCAGAATAAGGAAATGATCATGAGGTCACGTAAATTTATTGTCAGCGTTAGGAGTAGCAAATAAGAAAGAAAAGTGTATTACATTGCTTTAATATTTATGTTCTATGAAATATTACTAACAACTTTTAAAGCCATTGTCAATGTCTTGAACAGCTATTTATCTGTCACTACATGACAATTGCACTTTTAGCTTGAACAAAAAAAATAATGTTTTCTAAAAGCAAAATGCCAACAACTTTTGACAGGCAAGAATAAGAGTCTTTTAACAAAACTAAATTTGACCAAATAGTTTTAAGATGCTTTGCACCTGAATCCTTAAGGAGTGAAGAGATATTTATTTAATTCCGTGGACTGACACGGGGCTCTCTCTAGCAAACTCTCACTTCCCTTAAACAAAAATACTACATCTGTTTTATAATATGCTTTAGTCCCTGCAGAACTGTATCTAAAATAACCCTTTTGCTGTAAAACACGTGTGTGACATACTTGTTTTAATCTCATGTTCCCTTTCCTTATCTATAAGTGGGACAGTGATAGAACTTACCTTTCAGTTTGATGTGAGGACAGGCTCAGTTTACCTTATTACTTGCTATAAATTTTCTAAGGACACAGAAACGACCATACTCTACAGTATATACATTGAGTGTAATAAGTGATGTTCAGCTAGTCATGAAATCCCCATTACCTTGTTTCTGCAAGATAAACTGGCTGTTCATTAGTTCAAAAACATCAAATAATGTGATTCTTACCAGAAAAAGGATATACTAGTAGCAATAAAGACAAGTGATCTTTGCCTGGATCTATTTTAGGAATGATTTAATTATCTACACCCCTAGTGTTAACACTGGAAAATAAATAAGTACATGAAAGGCATCACATACAAAACAAAACAACTCCCCTACGAAAAAACAAAACAAAACCTGCAAAACCAAAAACAGGCCCTCTGAAATCAACACCTTCATGGTATTAAAAAAGAAATGCTTAGCACTTAGAAGGCTAGGCTCTATAACCAGTAATGCAAAATAAAGAAATAAAGAAATTTAAGCATGACAAAGAAACCATCTGTACCATTTCTCCCTAACTAGTCATCCTTACTGACACAAGAAAGTCGGAATTTGCAGAGAGGTTTAAGAGGAATGGCTGAATTGATCGTTCAGACTGCTCAGACTGCAAGCTCTACATCTAAATATAACCAGAGGAAAACTGGAACTCAGGGTTGGTTTCAGTGAATCCTTACTTACAATGTCAAAAAGGTCATTTTTAGTTAGTTCTTTCAGATAGGCAGAAAACATTCATTAGTTTCCACAATAAAACACTTTTTTTTGCTGCATATTACTGTTTTGCCAATCTTCCTCAAGCAAGTGAAGAAAATTCTCTTGTTAAGCAAGACAGGTATTATAATTAATTAGGACATCGCTAACTATCCAATATCTGTAATTATAAATGGAAAAATTAAGGTCCAAGAAATGACTGTTTTGTTCCAATTACACTGATTTGCTAAAATAAAAACTGGCATAAAAACTGGCAACTGATTCATTTCTAAGATCTCTAATGCGAACACAGACAACTCCAATTCTTTCATTCCACAGATATTCCAGCACACTGCTTCCTTATTCATCTTATTCTATTAATGGAACAACATCTTACCGGAAAAGGAAAAATGTTGTCAGCCCTGTTCAAGCTATCTTCCATCCAGGATTTGGGAGCAAAGGCTGAGCTAGGGCGAGCATACTTCTGGAGCTGAATATGATTGCTTGCAAAATTCTTTTTCAAAGGTGAGATGGAGTTCAGGGGTGTTATTCCACCATTCAGCCCTCTGCGGTGATCTCGGCCTTGAGACGCTCCCCAGCCACCATAGCCACCACCTCCGGGGCTCCAGGAAGAAGAGGGGGTTGGAGAGGGACTCTGATAGCTGCTCCATGGAGAAGGAGGTTTGTTAAGATTATTCGCCAAATGAGGCAGCTGGTTAAAAGCAGCATTTCTATGTGTGAAGGGTGGGGGGTGGGGACTGGCAGGAGATCTCCTTTGCTGCTGATGCTGGCTGTGATGGTGCTGGAAATGGGGGTGATGAGGATGGTGCTGGGACAGAGGCCCGATCTGAGGGGAGAAGCTACCACCAAAGCCAGGGCTGACATGATGGGGGAAATTTTGAAACAAGAGAGCACCATTATTAGCTGAAGCGCCAGGGACTCCTCCCTGGTGAAAGAAACTTGCATCTTCATTGATTATCGTGGAGGAAGAAGGTGCTATCGCTGCTGACCAGTTACTAAAACCAGTAAGGGACGATGCACTAGATGTCAAGGGTTGGGTGGAAGTACCGAGGCCCGTGGCTTCTTGATAATCAAACCCTGTCAACACTGGTGATTCAATGCGTATTTTTTCTTTTCCATTGCTGTTTTCTGAAGAATTGTCCCCTGGATTTTCTTCAGCTTTTGCCTTTTCTGTTTCAGGCAGTATTCCAGCTTCTTGACCTGGACTCGGGGAGAGTTGTTGCTTTTCTAAAGGGTCTTGTTGTTCCTGCTGTTGACTTTTTGCTTTTTCTGACCCCAAGATCTCATCCTGAATGTTATGGGTAGCTGGAGCAGGAAAGAGCCAAGCTGACCCGGCACTGCTGCCATTGGCGGCTGTGTTATTATTTGTAAGAGCAGCAGGGTTGGGGGTGGCATTTTGGTGATGGTGTGGAGGCTGCAGGTGTGGATGGAACCGGACTGGAAAAGCAGATTTAGCCCCAGTGTTGCTTTGCACTAACACTCCAAACCCGTAGTCCCCCATTTATTACTTTTAGGGTCAGAATCTCACGATAAAAAAAGACAGCCTAATGCCTCACGTCTTCCCCCCCCCCCCCGTATCACAAATCTGTCTGTTTGCTTGAAGTATCTTATTTATAGCTAACTCAAAGATCACAGCTTATGACTCTAAAGTATCTCTGATTTGGAATTCTGGTCTCTCTTAAAGGAAATACAACTAAAAAAAAAAAAATCTCTTAAAATATTGATATGAATCCAATTGGGCTTATTTTTAGGAGGGAATAAAAAAGGAAAAAGGTAAAAATCAAGTCTTTGGTTAGTAAAATAGGCGCTTTCTTTTTCCAAAGGAAAATGTACATGAATGACAAAAACACAGCTTCTCAAGCATCTATGGATATAGAAGAATAAGCATTGTGCGGAGTAAAAATATATATATATATAAAATTTAACAGTCACATATGGTCTTCCTCAGCAGTTTAGATTCACATAAAAATTAGAATAGGATTACGGGGAGAATACGTTCTTTTCTCGGCAGCTTGGTTAAAAAAATCAGGAATAATTTAAGAACATTATATATTATATATTTATATATAGATAGATTATATTAGGTTATCTGGGGCGGGAGGTGAATTTCTGGTTGCCAAAGAGGAAATCAGCCTTGACTAAAGGAAAGATGATTGCAGGGTGATTTCTGCTGTTCCTGGTCCTGTTTCTGTTCTTTTGTAGGGTGCAGTGTGGGCCTCTGGGGCTGTTCCTGGGGCTCCGAGTGCAGATCTTGCTGCGTTTGCTGTTCTTGGGCTCCCTTCGGCCTCCTTTCCCCCATGAAAGGGGTTGGAAACACCCGTTTCTCCCTCTGGGGGGTGTCGCGATCAGGAGGGATTAGCGAGACTGGACAAGGGCGAGCTGGCGGCCCGGGGGTGCGGGGAGCAAGGGGGCGACCTGGAAGGTCCTGCGGTTTCTGCCTCTTCCCCTCTCTGCGGCTCCGGGATTTTTTTCCCTCATGGGACCCAGGGGCGGTTTGTTCAGTTCTCTCAGTTCGATTCTCCGCCGGGGGGGAGGGGGAAGGGGGGCATGGACAAAAAGGAAAACCCCGCTACCGTAGTTACTCTAAAGGAGAAAGGCCTCCCCCGTGGGCTCGCGCTCTCTCTTCCCCTAGCCTGCTTGGAAACTAATTTAGAAGGCTTTTGTTTCTCCTCACGGTTGCTGGGCCGCCGCCGCCGCCGCCGCCGCCGCCGCCGCCGCCGCCGCCGCCGC